CCCCAAAACCCCAAAACCCCAAAACCCCTATGGTCAAAATATAACAAATTCTTTATTGAAAGGAATTCAAAATTATAAACTTAAAATATGGATTAAAAGACAGCTGATCAAAGTAATCATCCAACTCCAATCTTATTTATTCTATAGAAATGAAAACTGGAGGCCTTGAAAGTGCCGACGTTTGGGGAGATCAAGATGATGTAAGTAATTAGCAAGATATTTTGCATACTTGCCCAGAGCAATGATGAGAAATTTGTCTCTTCAAATTTTACTAATATGATGTTAACCAAAAATTTATTTAGCCAATGAATGAGGTGAATGCTTTGACCAACGAGGAACTTGTAGCTAGAACCAGAGAGTTTGAGGCTGAGATTAGGAAAACTAAGACTCAGATCACAAGGATCAACAATGAAATTAAGAATTATGACCTGAGAGTAAAGGAGAACAAAGAGAAACTTAAGCTCTCAACTTAATTACCTCACATGGTCGCCAATGTAGGAGAAATATTGGATGTCGAGGAAGATGAAGAGGATAAGGATACTTCTGGATTCAAGCAAGAAAACGTCAGCAAGACTAGGAAAGCTATGGTTGTTAAGACCACAGGCAGACACACCATTTATTTGCCAGTAATTGGAATGATCGAGCCAGAGGAAGTAAGACCAGGCGATTTAATTGCAGTCAACAAGGAAAGTTTTATTGTTTATGAGAAGTTGCCACCTGAATACGATTCAAGAGTTAAGGCTATGGAAATTGATGAAAGACCCACTGAGGAGTACTCAGATATTGGAGGTCTAGATAAATAAATTCAGGAACTCATTGAAGCTATTGTGCTCCCAATGACTCACAAAGAGAGATTCGATAATATTGGTATCAGACCACCCAAGGGACTTTTGATGCACGGACCTCCAGGTACTGGAAAAACTATGATGGCAAGAGCTTGCGCCGCTCAAACAAAAGCTACTTTCTTGAAACTCGCTGGCCCCTAACTCGTACAGATGTTTATTGGAGATGGTGCTAAGATGGTAAGAGATGCATTCGATCTAGCTAGAGAAAAAGCTCCAGCAATTATCTTCATTGATGAGTTAGATGCTGTAGGAACCAAGAGAGGTTCAGGAGAAGGAGAGACCAGAGAAGTGCACAGAACTATGCTTGAGTTACTCAATCAACTCGATGGTTTCACTCAAGACGATAGAATTAAGGTCATTGCTGCCACTAACAGACCTGATATATTAGACCCTGCTCTCTTGAGATCAGGAAGACTTGATAGAAAAATTGAACTGCCATTACCCAATGAAGAAGCAAGAGCAAGAATTCTCTAGATTCACTCAAGAAAGATGAATGTAAATAAGGATGATGTCAACTTTGAAGAGCTGGCTAGAAGCACTCAAGACTTCAATGGAGCATAGTTAAAGGCTGTTTGTGTTGAAGCAGGTATGGTAGGTCTAAGAAGAGGAGCCACGACACTCAGACATGAGGATTTCGTAGAGGGTATTCAGCAAGTGCAGTCTAAAAAGAAGGCATCTCTCAACTACTATGCATGATTAATTTGTGGAACAATTGCATACATAAATAAGAGGCTTAATTATAAAAGTAAAATTAGGAAAAAAATTACAATTTTTAATCTCTTTTCTAAGTTCAAATTAAGATTAATTAAGTTCTCATAATTATAAGATAATTATATCCATTACTATTTATATAAGGGGAATTCACACTGAGGCATCTCTGCTTCTCTTCAGACTTTCCAGTCTCTTAATAACCTACTCCAGTAAGCTAGTGGCTGAATTGTTATTGGCATTAAAATTGCTGACGCTGTGGCTCTGACTTAGTCCACCTCCACCAGCAGCTCCATTTATATATTCAATCTTTTAAGGGCTGTCGGTTTCACTGCTGTAATGACTCTAGGTTTGAGTGATTCTAGGATTACTTGAGGTTCCGAATCTCCCTGCTCCCCCATTGAGTCCAGACCTCAATCTCTTCTCCTCTAGTATTTTCAGTTTTAATATCAATAGCTCTATTGAGGGTTAATGCTAATTCATATTCCTTAATTGCAACTAGCTATAGGTTGAGTTAAGAGATCTTTGGGGAGATATCAAAGATATTGGCTTTGTTGTTTCCCTTTCTTTGTCCTGTATACTTCTGCATTCATCAGGACTCTCTTCAACCTAGCCATCATCTTCCTCTTTTTCCTCTTCATCTTCTTCGTTAATAAAGAGTCTGGAGAAATCATTCTATATTCTGCAGTCAATTTACTGGCCTCCATTGTTAGTCATACCTCTACCCGTGTGAATTTATGTTCCATTGTGAGATAAAATCCTGGTATTATCCATTGAACTCATGCCATTGTTAAATCTTGTCATTTCATCCATTTATGAGCCAGCTATAGTATGATTGGCAATCTCGTCTTCATCCGATGAGTTATTGAGTTCCTTTACCTCTTAAAGCTTCCTCATCAGATTAAACTTAGTCTACGGACTTCTTAGATCTAGACCTCTTTGCTATTTGCCGCCATTGATTAAGTTGCCTTTTTCATAGAAGATTTTGGCTTAAATTGGTGTAGAAAAACTGTTGGAGCCAGGTGTTTAGATCCCTGATGAGGTAAAATCTGAATTCTAATCTGAGTCTCTCCCCTACTAATGGAATACACTGTTTTACAGAGTTGGATCATTCTGCTGTTCCTAGTTTTACAAGTTATTGCTTCCATTGTTATTATTATTTACATCGTTTTCATTTATTGATAGATTCAGGAGACTGTCCAAAAGTTCATCATGAGGTATCTCAAGCAATTTATTGATGAGCAGATCAATATCTATTTCTTGATTTTCGCCTCTTGAAGGAGGAACTAAAGAAGGTAGTGGTGTTTTGTTATGAGAATTAGGAGCAGACACTTAATTTGATTGCTCCTATGATTCAAATACTGAAGTCTGCTGATCAACTGACATCTACTGTGGTATTTCTTATACTTGATCTTCCAACTACTCATTTTGTTATTCTCCCACTGCTTCCTATTATTAATTTTCCTCATTAGTATCCTGGCTACTTTCTTCCTCTAAATTTCTCAAATCTAGCAGTCTCTGGCAAAGTATAACTGCATGATAAGGAATCGAGAGATCGAAGTAATCTATGCTTTTTATTGAAGGCTGTCTGCTTATCTGTGGAGCTTTAAGCGTTGGTGTAAGCTTTTTCAAATTCCTTGGGTGAATCATAAGGAATTAACGATCAGTTGAAAATGACTCAACAAGCAGACCTCCTCTCATCTGCTATTCCTTTTTGAGTTCATTCCTTCTCACATTGGGAACATTTTCTTAGTTCTCAATATTTTGCAGTCTCTGTGCCAATTGCTATATGATCTCTGGATCATTGAGGCATTCCACTTCTTGATCATAGAAATTTCTGTTTACATTTGGTGATTGCATCTTAAACCCAGAATTCTGACCTGAATTATTCTCGCTTTCAAAAAATCGAGTATTGTCAAAGCCATTTTGCGAAGATTAGTTCTCTTTAACTGCAAATAAGACGCATGAATCGTCAAGAGCTCTTACTATAGTGTACTCTGGGGAGTAAGGCTCCTCTATAAAATCAGATCTCAGTTTTTAATAATCTTGTTCCTTATAAATTTTCTCGAGTGATGTGAAGAACTTTTGCTAAGACTACGGACTCATTCTCAGTATGCAATTATTGGTAGTCCTATTAAAGGCTTCGTTGGAAATGCGGGAGGGTGGACGAGAAGAGCCTGAGTTGTTATTCTACTGGTCTTCTTGTTCCTGTTGCTAGGCAACTCCTCCATCCTGAGCCCCTGCAGCATGCTGATGATGATTTCTGTAATGCTGCGCTTGCTAGTTAATTAAACTTAATTTTTCTATTAGCACAGCCTCTTCTTCCCCTATTGAGTTTTGAATTCTAAGAGTAATTGGCGTCGACCTAAGAATGTTCTGGTAGTTTTGGTTATGCTTGCTGCTTTTAAGCTTTCTAGTGCGATCTTGAGATTGAGGCATCTAGTGGGACATTTCATTCATACTATCCATTATCCACTTTCACACCTATTAATTTCTAAATAAATATTTTAAATAATAGGTTAGTTTAAACTAGGAGAATAATGAATTTAAGTTTAAACCTTTTATAATATTTTAGATTAATTTAAAATGGTTGATTAAGCACGTAAATACTCTGTCCTCCTGCCTACCTACAACGAGAGAGAAAACCTCCCTCTAATCATTTGGCTTCTTATGAAAACAGCAACAGAAGAGTAAGTCTAGTCTGATTTGCAGGATATTACGAATAAGAGTGTATTCTAATCTTTATTATAGAAAACTTAACATGGAGGTCGTGATTGTAGATGATAACTCTCCAGATGGTACACAAAGTGTGGTCAAGGACCTGCAGCGCATATATGGTGAGGACAAGATCAAGTTGCATGCCAGACCAGGCAAGATGGGTCTGGGGAGTGCTTATATTGACGGTCTTTCCAAGTGTACCGGCAACTTCGTGATTCTTATGGATGCTGATCTCTCTCATCATGTAAGTGTCAACAGATATATCAATAAATCAATAGAAATTGAGTATAATATCTAAATATCATCGAGGTGCTAATTAATACTATTTAGCCCAAGTTCATCCCCGAGTTCATCAAGAGGCAAAAAGAGACTAATGCAGATATAGTTACTGGCACTAGATATCTTCCTGGTGGAGGAGTCTATGGTTGGGACTTGAACCGTAAACTGACGTCAAGAGTAGCTAACTTCATTGCCAGCACAATCCTAAACCCAAAGGCTTCAGATTTGACAGGCTCTTTCAGACTGTACAAGAAAGAAGTTCTAGATAGAATTATGCCTTTAGTGAAGAGCAGAGGCTATGTGTTCCAGATTGAAATTATCGTAAAGGCTCAATACATGGGTTATCAAATTCAAGAGGTGCCCATCACATTCGTTGATAGAATTTACGGAGAGAGTAAGCTAGGCGCAAATGAGATTGTTAGTTACTTGCAGGGTATTGTTGACTTATTTGTTGATGTTTGAGGTATTAAAGAGATAGGGGAGAGCTAGATAGCTCAGAGTATTCATAAATTATAGCACTCTCTCTGAAATTTGTTAATTGAACAAAGTTATTTCTTAATTATCAAATACATCTTGTTGAAACTAAATTCATGATTTAGGGGTTTTGGGGTTTTGGGGTTTTGGGG